AAGCCTGAATTTTCGGGATATCGATGATCCTTTTTCTATGGCATATGACTCATTTTAGTTTAATTTAGTGCTAAGGTTTAAGTTAGTCTTCCGGGGCGGCGACTCGGTGGTTCCCCTTTCGCTTGTAGAGGTAGACAATTGTGGCGTCCTTGAAGTCTTGGGGGACTTCTCCTTGGCGCCACATTCCCTAGATTAGCGTGGTGATATCATTCATAAGTTGTTGGCCGCCGTATTTGAAAATATCGGTAGGGATTGCGTCTGATCCTTTTTTCGTCACCGGAGATTCCTCCACGTTCCTGAGGAGTAAGTGGGCGATCGAGGTCAGCGTCGATTTTCACCTGAGGCAGGCGATCGATGGCAGCATCGGAGATGGTGTAGGGACGGTCGGGTATGCCTGGGAAGTCTTCAGCCCAGCTTTTCAGAATCTGTGTCTTGTCGGTGAGTAGGGATTTTCTTTCCTGCTTTAAGTGTTTAGACCGCAATTTTAGCAGTCTCGAAGCCACGGCCTGCTAGCAGAAGTTATGACGCAGCATTTGTTTAGAGCCGCGTTTCTTGACTCCCTCCCCTCCGCAGAGGTAAGCAGTGTTGTCCCTTAATAGGGCTGCTTGGTCATCCCAAACGGTCTTCGAACTCCGACTACGACAATATATATCACACTCATGTGAAATCCGGTACACCTGCACGAAAGACTGACTTTTGGATTTAATAACCTGCACGCATGCGGCACGCGTAGATCCTGGTCCAGTCGTATTATCTACTTCGCTTGCGCAAATCCCGTTATTGGAACATGGTGGGCGTAAAAGATGGCGAAGTAGGCGCAGTGAAAATTTGCTTCACCATGCGCGAGTCGCGTTCTTCCCGGTAGCAGGCTGATCTTCCTCAGTTGCAACGAACTACTTATTCAGGCAATTGGGGACTAGAGTCACCCGGCCGGAAATGTGTTCATTGAGCTCGGCGTTTAGTTCAAAGCTGTAGGGTCTGATAACTGTCAGCCTGTCCTGTTGGCTGACCATGCAAACGGTACTTAGTCTGACTGGTGCAATTATTAACTATGTACTTAGGTTCTGGATGTGATGTGCAAATTCAAAGTACAGACCCTGCCCACCTTTGCGCTTTAGTGTTTTTCCTCACTTTTACTTTCCACAGTGTTTCAACATGCTTACTTTGCTGATTATCCTGCATGAGCATGTTCTATGACCTTACTGACCTTTTCTGTACGAATTCAATTTTTGTATTTTCCCATAAGTTACTCACGTTATGCAGCGAGAGGAAGCAGCTGATAAGCACTCGAAATGTATGGATCCATTAAATTTTGCTGTTTATGCAATCTTCAGAAGTAATTTTTGTCCCGGCAATCGGGTCTTTCAAAACAATTCCTTGAGTCGCTCTCACCCTAGGCACTAGCATCTCTATAGATCGTATTTAGAACAACACCGTGAAGGGCTTTCGAAATGAAAACCATTAGTACAGAAACAATAAATTTTCTAAAACCATCAGATAGCAAATAAGGACACTAGCCACTGGCGACAACGGTCTGTAGCGCAACACGTCAAATTTTCGAAGTGATGTATGTTGATCATACTAACAAGCCCCCCGGTCCAAGATCGTACGAGCATCAGCTTTCGATTATAAGCTCTGCGGTATGGCCGGCGCAACGCCACTTGTCTAAACATGCACATCTAATTTAATTAGGAGACATTACCCTGAATGTATCCTGGTACACTAAGTGATCGTGTCCTGTGTTGCTCACGTAGATGGGCTCGGACAGTCCATGAGTGCATGGACGAGGGAGCAGTGAGATCGACACTAGGGAGTCCATCCCCACGGCAAATCAAAACACTCCTCACTATAGTGGAACTGACGCTCTTAAGTCTATCACCACGGGCCAAATGTTGTTGCGTGGAATTTTGCCAACTAATAAAATAGCTCAGTTCCCGAGATCGGTACTGCGTGGAGTGACTGGAGGATTTATTCAGATTCAATGGCTCCTTTTTAATGTAAGATTCGAGCCGTCCTCATGGACGCTTAGAGTATGCTGTGGGGACCAGGTTGTGTGTAGTACGCGATGAAAATTTTCAGCCAGTGTTTGGTCGTCGTGAAATTGTCTCCCTATCGGAGTCTGGATAAGAGGTTAGCGTGTGGAACATGCTACCTAAGTTCATCTCGCTTTAAATTAATTCAAGTGCAACGTGAAAAATACGATTGGAGTCATCGCTCTCGACGATCGAATGTCATTTTGGGGGTGCTGTCAAACTACTATCCCACACGAGGTTCGATCTAATGTCACAAAGAAGAGAAGACGAACTAGCAAACCGAATTGTATTATGATAGCTGTTCCAGAACTTCCCTGGTTTCCATCATCAGAGTAGTTAGGTGGCTATTTCTGTTTGTCTTGCTATAGTCAATTTTGCCACCACCACCTCTGCCTGTTTGTTGCTCAGGGTTCTCTGAGGTCGAACATTGGCGAACTCGTGTGACTTTTACCATCTGCTATCGTCGTAATATCGGTCCAACTAGCATGTTTCTTGGTATTTGCCTCATCAGCCGGCGGACTGGTGGACAATTTGATTATCGGGTTTGACGAGGTCCGCCATGTGCCCTACAGTATGGTGATGCAGGGATTGTGACCTACGCACGATTTTATATTTTATTTTATAGTGGCGGTATGTAACATGCGCCTGAATGAAAACCTGCGTTAGAACACTGTCGGCTATACCTCATTGTCATATTTCTCCTCACCTGCATCTTCATACCTAGTCATGCTCAAAACCATATACCACGTGCTTTCAGCCAGCACCTCTCGTCTGAGAGGGAATTATGATTCTTCACGTCCATACCACAGTCGCTTGCTGTCGAAACCATCCGTGACCTCCTACGTCAGAAGTACGATGAGAGAGATGGTCAACCCACAGCTCAGGATGTCCTAGAACTCGTGTAACATTGCCTCAGGACCTTCTTCACCTCCGAAGGGACCACGTACGAGCAAATCAAGGGCACTCCAATGGGGCCCCAATATCCGGGTTCATTGCTGAGATTGTACTAAAAAAACTCGAGAAGCGGCTGTTTGAAGAGTACGAGCCGAAGTTTTGGGTACGCTACGTTGACGACACTTTCGTTGTCATCAACCAGAGTCAAATCAACCAC